ATTATGCACTGCTGATTGGATAAATTCTGCACTACTGACGAACTTTTAGTTGCATTATGCTTTTTACATCTTGCAGTCAGTTTTACAAAAATTAGAGAATTCTTGAGGTTGCGAGATGGAGATATTCAAAATCAAACAACGAAGTTCACTGAAATTTCAGTGAATTTCACCGATATTCACTGAATTGGAGACAAAGAGTAAATTGTGAGGCAAAACAAAAAAAGCGGTTTCAACAATTGAACCCAAATAATGAGGAAAAAAGAATTTTTTTTCTTTTATCTTTATTTAGAGCAAAGATAGTAGAGTTTTGGATTGGTTCAAAGTTTTTCTTTCTCCTTTCAATACTGATGCTTTTTTAAAAGCGATAAGTAGATAATATTTGAGAGACAAAATAGGATAAGGAGATAATATCTTAAAAATGGATAAGCAAAGAATATCTTAAAAAAATGATAAGCAAAACAGAGCGGAGAATATCTTAAAGAGAGAATAATGTTTCTTTGAGAAACAAGTTCACCTATTGGGTTTTTTAAAAAAAAGCTCAACAGAAGAAAGACTCATGAAAGAGAAAAGGAGAACGAAGTTAAAAAAAAATTCAGATTATTAAAAATTTATAGCAAGATATACATGAACGGCAAAACACAATATCAAAGTTATTGTAAATTAAACTCAGAAAAAATAACATATAAAACACCAATAAAAACGAACGATAGATCCTGAGACTGTAGGTTATGAGCCCACCATGCTTTTACAATGTTGCTCTGATACCAATGTTGGATTACGAGGGAAGAGATGGATCCCTAAATTCCCAGTATTAGGGGCAGTGTCGTGAGACTGAGGATTGCATAATGGAGGGTTTTCCAGAACAATGATAACTCAAGCTTCTCTATGTGTGTCTCTCTATGGCCATAATAGACCTAGTTATAAAGGATGGAGGACGCAGTTATCTAACGTTCGGCTTTGTCTTTAAAACTTTGAAAAACATGGCTCTGTAATCTTGGGATATGAGTGGTTATTTTTTACCCGTTAAATAACGACACTTTCTCTCTTTAAGAAACGTCTCTATTTTAGTGATAAACATAGACTTTAAGATAAGAAAATAAATATTTGAGGCCCCATGGCCACCCATACGTACCAACAATTCTAGCATATCCTCCCCCCCCTCTCTCTCTCTCTCTCCTTTATTGCATAACATATTCCAACATATCCTCTCTCTCTCTCTCTCATGTGGCCTACTTTGTTGCATAGTATAGTCCTGATTCCTGAATATGTACATTCTAGCATATTCTCTCTCTCTCTTTCACACGTGGCTTATATTGCATTGACCAAGGTCAACGATAAAAAAAAAATTTCTCGAACTTTATGATACATCCAAGCTATCAAATTTCACATATGATGGTAATAAATAATTATGACCTCCTTGTATGAAAGATAAATGATCTCATTATGTTAGATTGCTCACATTATAAAATATTTTATAATTGTACTCAACAAATTTTGAACACTTTTATATCATTGTTTTGTACATTGAGTATTTGTTTAAGGGTGTGGTTACTATAAAGTTGTAACTATAAACAATCCAATCAAGGCGTACCACCTAATTTTATTATAACATGTAATTTTGGAATAATTTTTTTTAGGATTATTTGAAAATCTATTTTTATATCTAGTTATAAAATTTTAAACTCCAAAAATGGTTAAAATCAAGTAGATCTAGATCTATAAACATATGAAAACCTTCAAAATTGACGATCTAAAGAATGTGTTACGATATGCACTATTTTTTAGGCTCAAAATATTTTTTTTTTCTCATATTTCTACGAGATGATCAATTACAAGGTTTTTTAACATTAAAACAACCTTTTCCAATACACTTTTGAGGTGCATCTGTAATTCTATATTTTAAGGTTGTAACCTTATATAAACTTTTTCTAAAGGGTGCAATGGGCATACGAATGCATCTGTAGCTGTAGAGGTAAGGTGCACCTTCAAATTTTATCATGATATATAATTTTGATGTAAAATGTTCTTAGGATTATCTCAAAATCTATTTTTATATTTAATTATAAAATTTTAAATTTAAAAAATGGTTAAAATCAAGTAGATCTATAAACATATGAAAATCTTGAAAATGGACTTTGTAGATAATATGTTGTAAAATGCATTATTTCTGAGACTTAAAATCTTTTTTATTTTTCATGGTCATACATCTCGATGTCGAGATGATCAATTAAAGGGTTTTTCAACATTAAAACTACCTTTTTCGATATATTTTTGAGGTGCATCCATAGTTTTACATTATAAGGTTGCATCCTTATATAAAAATTTTCCTTTTCTAAATGTATTTTTTTGTTATTAAGAGGGGTGATATCATCCATATGGAGGTGTGAGATCACTGACATAGAGCACATTAATGACATCTAATGCTCAATGTGGGTGATATCATACGTCATGTAGATGATGTCACACTCATCATAATTACCAAAAATACCATTACTAAACAAATATTATATTACAAAACAAGGGCATATAAAGGTCCAAATTTTGTTGAATACAACAACCCAGATTCAAGTTGGGTTCAATCTAAAGGCCACGACTTCATTTTGTATTTGAATTTTCATTTTTTTTTTCTACAAATCCAAATTATTTGAAATTTTGAGTGTCTATTTTTAAAAAATAGGAGAATCTAATAAAATATAAAAAAATTTATTCAAAAAATATAAATTAAACCATAATACCCTTGAAACTTTGTGGGGGTATTTGATCAACTTATATTTTATGAATTATTTTTTACATATTTTTATTAGGTACGTCTTGATGAGAACAATGAACGCCTAAAATTTCAAATGATTTTTATTTATATAAAAAAATAAAAATTCAAATACAAAATTAGATTATAACCGTTAAAACGGCCTAGATTGTTGACTGACATTGTAGCTGTCAGCCTGTAGGTTGATAACTTTTGGTGGTAGCAAATTGTGTCTATGCTTTTTGCTAATCTGTGTGAATTGTACTTAATACTTTCATCGAATATGAGTCTGCTCGAGTTTAGGCAGAAAGTATGCAACCAAAAACTTTACAACTGATAATCTACAATGTATCGCCAATGAAAACCAATATGGGAAAAGGCCATATTGGAGTTGTTTCTAGGGAAACTCATCTCCGGCACACGAAAGGGAAATTAGCCGAGGTTCATGAGGCTTCTGAAATTTCATAAGCCAACCAAATCTTTTTGCTTCGATTCCGCGCAAAAGTTTGCTCAGCCTTTTGGAATCCTAAAGGTATAAGGAATTCTTTGTTTCGTTCGGGCACACTTTAGTGCCGAACCGGTAACCAAGCTTCTGGAATCCAGAAGCTAGTCCGACACACTTTTGTGCTGAATTGAAGAAAATAAATACAGTCCGGCACACTTTTGTGCCGAATTGAAGAAAATAAATACATTCCGACATACTTTTGTACCAGACCGGCTTCTGGAATGCTTATAAATTCCAAAAGCCTGGTAAGTGTGCCGGATCGAAGCATTTTGATTCGGCATAAACACGTGCTAGTCCGGTAACAAGGCTTTTGGAATTCTAGAAGCCAAATTATGGTCCAACACCCTTTTGTGCCAGACAGGCTTTTGGCTTATGGGCTCCAAAAGTTGGTGATTGGTTCGGCACACTTTTGTGCCAGACCGAGTGTGTAGGATCGAAACAATGGATTTCGGTCCGGCACGAACGAGTGCCAGACAGGCAACAAGGCTTCTGGAACTTCAAAAGCCAGACAAGGGTTCGACACTCTTTTGTGCTGGACCGCATTGCTTGTTTCGGTCCGGCACGAAAGTGTGCCAGACCGATCACTAGGCTCTGGAAACCAAAAGCCGGTCCGACACACTTTTGTGCCGAACCACATTATTCGGTCCGACAAACTTTGTGTCGAACCGGCTTGTAGAGCTTCTAAAAATACAAGTGGCTGGTGATCGGTTCAACACAAAAGTGTGTCAAACTCCATTTTTGCTTCTAATGATAGATCCAACACAAGTTTATGCAGGACCACATTTTGCTCCGGGATATATGCCATATGTGACGGAAAAGTGATGGTGTGTACTTGAAAGGGCAATTTTGTCTTGAAAAAAAACCTTTTTTGAAAAAAGCAAAAAAAAAAAAAAGCCATGCCTAGATTAAAAGTGTGATATGAAAAGTATTGAGAGAAAAAATATGTGCAAAGTTGATTCCAATAATTTTCCTTTATTCCACCCACCCCTCTCTCTCATCTTGTATCAAGCTTACATTCTCTCTCCCTCTCAAATACGCAAAGAGTTATTACCGGCCTCCTATCTTCCAAACATGAATACTAATGTTCAAAATCAAGGGTAAATATGTGGGCGTGTTAACAAATCAGACTGAGAAAACCTACAAAATCAACGGTGATGCAAAGATCTTATATATATATATATATATGGACTTTAACGTCCGTCCAAAATTGCATTTGCTTTCAGGGAGCAATATTGTCAAAACTTGAAAACGAGGGAGAGGCATCGAAGAGCCGCGTGCAAGACCAAAACTTCACATTCATTCTTATCCATTCTTAAAAACCAGGAAACTCTTTTGACTGGTCTATTCAACATCATATTGTTTGAGTCAAGGGCCCCAATCGTTCTAGTGGATTTTGTAGAATAAGAGGACCTAGCTTTGGTTGAAAAAGGTTTGTTTTTTTTATTTTTTGAATTGCAGCACAAGAAGCCTTTTGCTTTGTTGAAAAAAAAAGTTACAATCATTTTTACTCATCAGATATTAAATTAAAAGGTTAGAAGTGTTATGTTTTTTGACATACTCGGGAAAAAAAAAATCCCTAGTTTGTTTGTGGTCAATGGCATACTCCGGAAAGCTTGAATTTAAATGCAACGGCTAGGGGCGATTGTGGCCTATTTGATTCTAACAGTATAATTGACCTTAATTTGGCAAATATTTCTGATTATATACATCACTAAACATGCATGGAACTCCAAAACTCACACGTGCACATTATATAAATAGGGTATTTCATATAAATATTATTTTAAAAAGGGGCCAAGTACTACCTCCTCCAAACATTTATTCTTAAAACATTTTACTAATCCACATGGTTCCAACATAGTTGGCTTGTGGGTGGCGGGGAGTCGAAACCTTTATTGTCATACACTGAGGGCTATAAAAAGCCCTAAAGTGCTCAAGGGCAAAAGATAACCCTATAGTTAGTCCCTGAAGGGCAAGTAAAGGTGCTAGATGGATCATCCTTAGGGTAGCTATAAGCATCAGGGCACCTATCCTTGAAGAACCTAGAGTAGTTGGTGGGGCCGCAATTGTTTGCAGCCGATCCAGTGCAACAATATTGGTCACTCTTAAACACTGTGCATGCACTCCGGCACCCACCTGGGGATCGTAGCTCGTTAGGACACTGGCTATTGATGTCGACAGTGCATGGAATACGCCTGCATTTTCCGGTGCTACTCGTGACTGTAGGTTCAAATACCATAGGGATATTGAAACCATCGACCAGAGATATATCAAAGAAGTCCAAGTTGCTAAATTGGTTTAGAGCATATTCTGCAAGAGTTGCAGGAACAGCTCCGTAGCCCTTGCACTCGAGGACACCACCGCAGTCTCCAGTCTGGCAAGATCCACGGCCACTGGCATCGAAATTGCATCCAGTGCGGCCCCAGATCCTAGCTTGGGTGGTTCCAGGGGCCACATTGAAGGTCCAGGATCCTCCCCTGTCAAGACGGCGGCCACCTCCAGGCCTAGCAGCCGCCCAAACAATGAAGGAGCATTGGTTTCTGACCTCAAAGGTGGCCCCCATAGTGGCCACCAAGAGGCCATTTAGGGCGGCTAAGAGGAGGAGAAAAGAATGCATAGAGCTTGCCATTGGCCAAAACTTAGCACAAAGGTTGAATGCAAATGCTTAGAATGTTGCTTTGGCGATAGTATAGTGGGGGGTATTTATAGTTTTTAGGAGTTGGTGTCCCATGGGGTGTCTCTTGACCTTGGGTCAAACAAGAAGTGGTTGCGAAATTACTTGGGAGATAAAATTTGGGGGAACACTTTAGTTGAATTGAAAATTCGGTTACTTTTGAATTTTTTTTTTTTTTGAACGTTGAAAATCGTGTACGTATAGAATAACCAAATAAGAATGTACACTAGGGACAATAGAAAGGTAAATTAGTAAATAGTAACTTCACTCTTTTAGTCGCACTTAATTTCTTGTGCACTTTTGTCTTTTGGTTCTCGAATCCTCTAGACTAAACCGCCTAAAAGAACTCACCAAAAAAAAAAAAAGGGGCGTATATGAGGTTAATGGCCAAAAAAAAAAAAAACTACAGTTTGTTGAAATAGACTCCCCACCTTTCTATAGAATATTGATGGACTCTGAGGTGACTCAGAAGGCACATAGATTTATATGAAAAAATCATGATTGTTTATTCTATTCTTACCGACGTAATCCGTGTAGTTCTTAGAAAACTGGTCTTTTCTATTGTCAATCATTCCTTTTAATTGAAGGACTCACCCATTCAAATAAGACTTCTCTCTATAATTTATTTTAAAAATGAATTTTGGATCTAAAATTTTAAAGATTGAAAATCTAAATCATGATAACTATGAATTCGAAAAAATAAAAAACGAGATTTTTTTTAGCGTATAGTTTTAACACCCTTAGTTTTGAATGGAGCCTCCGTTTGTTGACATCCATTTACACGATGGATGTCGAGTGCGTCCGGGGATTCAATTGTTGAAGTGCGTCTCCTAACGCACCTTGCGGGTAATTTGGATTCCCACCTTTTTTTGATGTGGGAATAAGCTTCTCCCGTAGTGGTGCCTGAATGGTGGTGTTCTAGCTTAGTATTACGCCATTCAAGGGCACAATTTTAGGAATGTACTTCATATATTGGCAAAATACTATCACTCAGGGTTTGGTCTAGTCAAAATCGGTCTAACTATTGGTTAAAGCGGTTAGATCATAATTTTAAAAAAAATAAAAAAAATAGATATAAAAATATAAAATGTACACATAATTTTCTCCAAATTCATCAATCTGGTCAAACAAGTTAAATCGATTGATTTGACGGGCTAAAACTTGTCAAAAATTAGTTGTAGTTTATTTTTAAATACACCTAATTTTTATTTCGGACTAGACCGGCCAGAACATTGGTCAGCAATCTGATTGTGCAGATCACCGTTCAGTCTTGTCTCTATAATATAATAACGATCGTGAAATTTTGTTGACAATGTAAGAGAACATCTTTTCCTCCATTAGCAAAAATGACTTTTTTAAACGTTCTTATTTTCGTGACTCTTAAAAATAAGGAAAAAAAAAAAAAATACGATTCTAATATAGCTGCTAGGGCGTCCAAATGGTTCCTTAACCACTTGTATATAGCGAGGCCTTTATGGTAAAAAAATTAAGGAAAAAAGATTATATAAGCTATCAACCTTATTAGGCTGACCTAAAAACCCACTAGTGAAGGTTATTCTTATATTATAAAACCCTTAAATCAATCATCTAGACCTCAATATTCATACACATGAAAAAAATGAGATTTCTAATCCTAAGAATAGTTTATCTTCTAACATATTATATTGACCATCCATTTTCAATATTTTTAAACATTTATTGATCTGCTTGATTGTCACTATTTTTAGAATTTTAAATTTCATAATTGGGAACAACATTAGACTTTTATATCATCGTAAAGCTTTACAGTACCAAAACTATATTTTCGGCACAGTTTTGAGGGTACACCTTACTTCAATCGTATAAGGTTAACACCTTAAACAAACCTCACCCAAATATTAATAGAATGCTTGACCAAATAAAACGATTCATATTTTCTATTCTAGGGTTTAAGGCCCTACGAAACAGAAAAAAAGAAATAAAAGAAGATTATTTGTATTTGCCTTTACCGTATTTTTGGTCCAAGCACGTTTTCGAATAGTGTGTCTTCTCTTCAACATAAAATGAACAGGAGGGAGGTTTCTCCTAGAAAATTAGGTCATTTTTGTGTGACTTGGCTTAAGGAGAGATTGTAAGTCAAGATAATGCTTGACTTTTTAGCAGCCACTTAAAATGAACAGGAGGGAGGTTTCTCTTAGAAAATTAGGTCATTTTTGTGTGACTTGGCTTTAAGGAGAGTTTGTAAGTCAAGATAAGGCCTGACTTTTTGGTCGCCAATTTTTCGTGATGCCCCATGACAGCAGATACGTTTGTCAAGAAGCGGATAACTCTATGTGCTACTACAGTTTGGAGTTTGGTGTGTTGAACCATTAGATTTCATTTTATTGTTTTTAACTTAAGATTTGACTCGATTGTCTAATGATAGGACTATAACTTGTATATTCTCTATTTTTATTTAATGAAAAATAGGTAGGAGGCTTTCTCCCCCAACTAACTTACCCAAAAAAATGACGCCAAATGATGTTTTACTTCCATAAAAGTAGAATGTTTATTTACTCTCTTGGGAAAAACCCCACTTGTAATTACTTTTAGAACCTAAAATTTTGGGGATGTAATCTCTCAACCCATATATTAAAGTCAATTAAAAAAATTGTAGTTGTTCCTTTTATGTACTTGAAAAAATATAATGTCTCAAAATTGAATAGGAA